GTGAGACAAAGTACGCCATTTACAAGTTTTGAGTTTTCAGCGTTTCACAGACCAGAAGCCGACGTTTTAGTGGAAAACATTTACGTATTACGCGCTTTTCGCAAAATTTGCTCGTTGTTGTAAACGTAAATCTGCAAGCAATTATCAATTTAAATAATTGGGATATCGCTTAATTTACCTACGTAGTATCTCTGACCTAATGAATCTGTAATAATAGCTACACGGCGATCAATAAATTCTGTCCGAAAAAAAATTTTCAAGGTTCATGTTAAAAACCACGCCCGTTTGTGACATTTATAAATTAGACCTACCCAATTTTATTGTATAAGTATAACCGAACTGTTTGGATTTGGGTGATTCTGTGCAATTATTTTCCCATCTGATAGGACATGTGTCTCGCAAAATTAACCTACACGTGTTAGTGTAAAGTGTACCCATAAGGTATTTTTAAAGCTAAACGGGCACTTTTATTAACGGTGTTTACGTAGTGTAACATGTGATCGCTCTCGACCTAGAAAGATTTGTTGTTGAATTATAAATTGGCCAGTATAGGTCATTTTATACGTGTACCTCTTCATAGTGAAAGAGAAAGAAATTAAAATGCAATAGAATGAAGCGCTTTCAGATAAGAAGTGAGTGGGCAAGCAGATAAGACTCAAAACACCACTTTGTTGCATGCCATAGGTTCAAGGCGAACCTATGTAAGTCAAACGCGACATTTTATGTCGCGTATAATTTATGATTAACTGAGACGAATTCGTATAATCGAAGTACATGAAAGATTTGACATCCGCGTAATCGCACGTGAGATTTTATTGCGAAAATTGAAATTGCAAGCGAAGATTGTGTCGCCATTTCGATGAAATCATTGTCGTCTGTTCTTTGAAATCCATCGCGAGTTGCCATTACGAGTAAACTAAAGTGACGTATTTTGCAAAAGAGGAACTGCGTTGTGTAGAAGAATCGACAGAATTCGTATAATCGAAGTAAATGGGCGATTTAAGATCCGCGTAATCGCACGTGAGATTTTATTGCGAAAATTGAAATTGCAAGCGAAAACTGTGTCGCCATTTCGACGAAATTATTGTCGTGTGTTCTTTTAAATTAATCGCGAGTTGCCATTACGAGTAAACTAAAGTGGCGTACTTTGCAAAAGAGGAACTTCGTTGTGTAGAAGAATCGACAGAATTCGCATAATCGAAGTAAATGGGCGATTTAACATCCGCGTAATCGCACGTGAGATTTTATTGCGAATATTGAAATTGCAAGCGAAAACTGTGTCGCCATTTCGACGAAATTATTGTCGTATGTTCTTTTAAATTCATCGCGAGTTGCCATTACGAGTAAACTAAAGTGGCGTACTTTGCAAAAGAGGAACTTCGTTGTGTAGAAGAATCGACAGAATTCGTATAATCGAAGTACATGGGCGATTTGACATCCGCGTAATCGCACGCGTGATTTTATTGCGAAAATTGAAATTACAAGCGAAGATTGTGTCGCCATTTCGACGAAATTATTGTCGTGTGTTCTTTTAAATTCATCGCGAGTTGCCATTACGAGTAAACTAAAGTGACGTATTTTGCAAAAGAAGAACTTCGTTGTGTAGAAGAATCGACAGAATTCGTATAATCGAAGTACATAGACGATTTGACTGCCGTGTAATCGCACGTTGGATTTTATTACGAAAATTGAAATGGCAAGCGAAAACTGTGTCGCCATTTCGACGAAATTATTGTCGTGTGTTCTTTTAAACTTGCAGTTGAAATAGAGACTTGAAATTTGGTTTACAGCCATAACCGACCATTGCGAATTGAAATATAAGATAATTTCAAGATGATGCTCATTCCATAAATACCGGCAAGTGGTGCCATCAGATGCAAGGGTTCATTCAAAAATTGATATCGCTTAAACCGTTTAACATATAAGTGATCGTCCTATTTAATACTCAAATCCTTCTAGTCTAATCTAAGAGATATGAATTTTTGAGTAAACCCTTGCATTTTCAAATTGTTAGAGAAAAGTTGACATGCTATATTTATCGATGTTTCTTAGTAGGATGGAGAGGGGGCTCTTTAGACGTAAACAGTTAAAGGCCGCCTGGCATACTTTCAAAATGTATACTATGTAATACAAGAAGAATCAAGCCCTTAGTGAAATTCTCGGGAATATTGCATTTCCCTTTGTAGGTTCCTTCCTATAGCATGTTCGAGATATTCACAATTAAGCTTTTACATTGACAGTAGATGTGTCTCGTCTAAGCGATCTTTGCGCCGTGTGGGAATATCCTCCTCGGACACTCAGTTCTGCAGATATTTGCACGGAAGGTTTTGACATCACCAGTAGATATATCTGGCATTGACGTTCCACTTTCCTTTTATGGGTACCTACTCTCTTGGATAAGGGGTGCGAAAGAAGGGCGTTAGGTAGTTGGTAGGAACCATTCCTTTTGGCACCACTAAAGGCATCTAACACCAATTGTACATGTAAAAGTTATGCACGTTTTACGTTTAAAAACAACATATCGGGAAAAAAAGAGGGGGCCGCTGTTAAAAAGAGTATTGCTCACACGGACGAGTGGTCGGAAAATAATAAAGCTATAAAGGATCACTACAAAAAATCCATAAAAGTGAGTCCGGGTCCGGGTTTTATCCACACCCTCAAAATGTATCAGTGGTATCAAATAGATATTAAATTTATGTAAATTTACAAAAATTACGGTTTTTTAAATAAAAAACACGTGAATTTTATAAAAGGCATAAATTATACATTAAAAAACTGACCTTTTGTAAGTTACGCGTAATATAACAGTTTTTTATGTAACTTACAAATCGTTTACAATCCACATCACTATGATTGTGCCCGTGTTATCTTTAAGGTTTTTTTTATAACACTGAATTTACCCGAATTCGTCTTTTATTAATATTTTGTCATGAGAGAAAAATGCAGTTTAAATGAACCTTAAGAATTGTCATTAAATGTTGAAGAAACCAATTTTTTTGTCCCTATTTTGTTTTCACCTTTTTTAGACCATGATACCTTATTGGCTATCCTGCATTATGTCGGTTGCAGTCGAAATGTGTTACATCTTTTTGAGTCATACTTGTCTAATCGATCTCAAGTTGTGGAGTTAAACGGTGTCGTGTCAGATGAACTTGTGTTGTCCAGGGGTGTACCTCAGGGTTCAGTTCTAGGGCCATTATTATTTACTATATACACTAGTCAGTACCTTGGTGGACTCCAGGAGGTCAGTACGCATCTATATGCTGACGATACACAAATTTATTACGCTTTTGATGTCGCAAATGTAAATTCCTCAATTAATGTTATCAATAGGGCCTTGGAATTCGTTTCAGGACAAGCTGTAGATCACTGCTTAAAACTAAACCCTAGTAAATCTCAATTATTAATATTTAGTAAAAATAAAGATTTTGAATACTTGAGTGATAAGCTGAAAATAAGTTTAAATGGAGTGGACTTAAATTCTGTTAATTGTGCAAAAAATTTGGGAGTTGTATTAGATACCAAATTGCGTTTTAAATCACATGTCTGTAAAATGATTAGTAAGTCGTTTTTAGTCTTAAAACAAATATATTCTCAACGTCGTGTACTTAGCCGTGCATTAAAGATTACACTGTGCGAATCATTAGTACTTTCGAACTTTAATTTCTGCGATGTCGTCTATGGTCCCTGTCTCGATTCTTATGATAAGCTTAGGGTACAAAAAATTCAAAACCAATGCCTTTGTTTTATATACGGAATTCGCAAGTACAATAAAGTCTCACATTTATTGAAGCGATGTAAAGTGGTTAAATATGTCCAATCGAAGGGTACATCATGCACTTTATTTTAAGGTGATTAAATACAAAACCCCTCCATATTTGGCGGAACGCTTAACATACCGCACAGATGTATATAATCTGAATGTAAGAAAAAAGTTTTATCTTAGGCCTCCTAGGCACATAACATCACTGTTTGAGAGGTCTTTTTCTTATAATGTTTGTAAATTATGGAATTCTTTACCAGATAACATCAAGAACATCTCCTCCTTACCTCTTTTCAAATCTGCTAGTAAACAGTACCTACTACAATCTCAATAAGCCACATTAACTATCACTATCTCGCATCAATTGTTAGCAATCTGGACGTTTCGTGAACCATCCTATTTATATCGTAGATTTTATTTCTTTCTCTTTCTTTCTTCTATTTATATTGTAAATTTTATTTTCTTCCTTCCCGTTGCTGATTTTGGTCCAAGTGGAAGACCAGGAGCGGCGCTTGTGCCTGTCCCTGAACTTGCACCTATTGTCACTTATAAATGTATTAACAAAGAAATGTTATTTATTTGCTGTTTGTTCGGTTGACAATAAAGACATTTATTATTATTATTATTATGTTATGCAAGACAAATCAAAAACCTTGGATGTCAGTTTACAAGTTTTTAAACTAGCTTGGATTGATTTATGATTAATGATTTAATCAAGAAAGTTAATCAGAGCATCACCGTCCGGTTTCTTCTGAAACTACTAGAAGTTATATAAGGAAATTGAATGGTGTATGTAGCACAAAGTTTGGCCGCAAGGAACAGAAAACTACTACAATACAAACAAATTTCACTTTCATCAAAAGAAATGCAACAAAGTAAATTTGTTCCGATATACCTAACAGTCGCAATTTACTGTCAGTGAAATCAGGTGCTACCGTGCAATAATATACCGCAGCTTCACTTTTACTTCTACTGTACTGTATCTCGTGAATCACAATCCTGTTCAGTAGGTACTTTGATTAGTGACACTGGAGCACTTTGTGGAAAATGGATTCGGACCAGTTCAGGGAGTTTGGAAAAGCGATGGTCGATTATATTGCAGATTACCTGGATAATATTCGTAACAGGTAAGCGCCCATGCCCGATTCTTTGGCCGTAAACACTTCCTTTAATTCTTTACGTAACGCAAATTTAAAGACCCATCCTTGCACAATATCGAATACATCAATAAATTTAGGAAAGTTCTGCCGTCCGTCAATCCGGGATACTTACAACCGACCATTCCGCAAGAAGCTCCTCAAACCGGCGAGAACTGGAAGAGTATCATGGAGGATATCGAAAGGGTGATTATGCCGGGGGTGACGCACTGGCATTCGCCTAATTTTCACGCGTACTGTCCTACAGCGAACTCGTACCCGGGTATAGTGGGCGAGATGTTGAGCGCCGGAATTGGATGCGTCGGATTTAGTTGGGTGAGAATTATTGATTTTACGTAATTCGCTTTCTAGAAGGTCAAATCTTTATTTGTAGATGTCAAGTCCGGCGTGCACCGAATTAGAGGTCGCAATGATGAATTGGCTTGGTAAACTGATCGGTTTACCGGAAGAGTTTCTGAACTGCTCGAATGGATCTGGGGGTGGAATTATTCAAGTAAGAATTAATGAGGGATGTTAGAATTTCTAATCAAGCACTTGCTCCAATTCTGATTTCTCAGCCCGAAATAGAGGGAAAATCTAGTTTTTGAAGCAACATTAAATTTCTCTACAATGCATGAAATATATACACAAATTTATAACGTCATGTAGGCGTAAAATGTGGCTTAAATTTCGCATTACACCGTTAATGTAATGGGGTGCATGCATAGGTAAAGTTAAGATGCACTTACTGACTTATTTAATAATTGGCCATTATTTATGGTATAAAGAGTGTTACAAGCGCTCTTTCCAAATAAACCGAGGGTCCAACGTGTTTCATTTGGGAAGTGGTGAAATTTGCATTTCTTCTTTAATGTTTTTCTCAGCAGCCATAAGAGTTACAGAGATTTGAATAGGACTACCCTTTCCAATTTTGCAAATGTTTTTTCAAAATTTCTACCACGAAAGGGCGCACCTCTAAATTGGGGTGCGAAAAAAATTCTGATTTCGACGGAATTTGGAATCTGGGGATTTTTGAACGAATCTGAAGTTAGTAAATTCGAAAAACAATTCCCCTGCAATTTTTTACGCACCTCCATTTAGGGGTGCGCCATTTCGTGGTAGGAATTTTGAACAATTTTTTTGCAAAATCGGAAAGAGTATATCCCAAAGAGACAAGAAATGCAAACCCATTCATGGTTGGAATTTAAAAAAAAAATTCAAAATTGGATACTTCAAAACCTATTCAAAAACGGGCCACCAGTCTGTGTAACTCTAATGGTTGCTGAGAAATGCAAATTTCACCACTTTTTTGAGGGTGGCTCCCAAACGAAGCACGTTGGACCCTCGCTTTATTTGGAAAAAGTGCTTGTTTTGATCCCCTCTACCACCCAATTGTTTTCATACACATACGATGAATTTTTTTCAAATGCGAACATAGGAGTTTGCATGCAATGTAATTTCCCTATGTTCGATTTAAAAAAAACACATCAATCTATTGAGTAGTTCAAATGAGTAGTAGATACAATTGACAGCTGTCACATTTTTAAAAATACCGCCGTCCAATTTAATTACGAAATCGGTTAGGTTATTGCTTAGAATGTCAAGGAGGACACTTCGAACATTTTATTGTAATTGTTTTCGGTATTTATTTTCTTATTTTCTTCATTTATGTATTGAATAGATCAAATTAGTAGAATGACCTACAAATAATTGAAGGTTGGTTCACAATGAGTTGTGGTGTCAGTGCGTGGCCTGTGAGTTCAAGTTATCGTAAGTTTAAGAAAAATGTATCCTAAAGTTGCTATGGCCTCACATGGCTTATTTAAAAAAATCTTACCGAGTGCTCTTCATCATAAAGACTACGAGTTGCTGTTCATAGTCACACAAGTTGCGCGATTTGGAAATGTGAACCGCGCACACCTCATAGATTAATGTGTTTTTTTTTAAATCGAACATAGGGAAATTACATTGCATGCAAACTCCTATGTTCGCATTTAAAAAAAACTCACTGTATGTAACACCCTGTATAGAGAAATGGCAGGTGTGTGACAAGGAAACATTGAAGTACGAGGCCCCTTTGATTCGAGTACTTTAATTTCCGAGTCAAATAGTATCGTTTTACTGACGAGTTTTTATTAAATTTTTCACGAAATTGTATCTTTAATACAAAATGTCTAATCATACAACACTTACTGATGTGTCAGTTTTGGCAGATGTTACTGCCAGTCATAGAAACGAACATTTCCTGACATAAATCAGGCATATTGAAATGAATGTATCATGACGATTTCGGGAAAAGTAACTTGATCTAGAGCTTAATTATTATATCAAGAATGAAAAAATTCAACAGACAGGACAATTTGTGCATGCAAACTAGGAACGAAGGGGGTTCGATGAAAGGTCTACCTGTAATGTATCATTTACGCCGTACCGTTAGCTACCCTCACTTCAAGCAACTAGTATAAGCCTCTCTGTCTCTTAATCCTGCACATTCTTGTCTTGTACAGTACTCCTTTTCAATGGCGCTAAAAGAAATAATTAAGTGTAACCGGGAGATCTGACTAACCATTGCACTTGCTGCGAGAAACCTCACTTTCCAAAAATGTTGTACACCTACTTCGAGGTACTTCTTATTTTGACAATAGTTCGTGTAATTCTAAGAAATTTAGAAATTCTGGCAATTCTTAAATAAATTTACATGTATAATTTGGATAATTCGAAGTAGTCTCTTGATGCAAGTATCGTTTTTCATGTCAATTTTCTTTAAAAAAATGGCAACCAGTGGAGCGGCTGTATTTTAACACACAATATCAACTCACTGATAACTTCTTAACACGAGCTGCCAGCATTAATTAATGTTAGAAGTGGCCTAGAATTTACACGGCCTTCTCTCAATCAAGAGTTTGTTGCTCATACCTTATTAAATAAATATAAGTATTACAGACAAAAGCCCAGTTCCCATTTTCCAATCGCTTCTCAGCATTGAGGACCATTAGAGAGAACATTTGTACAAAATTTCAGCCAAATCCGTCTTATTCTTACAAAGTTATACGTAATTCAAGAAATATCGATTTTATTGCCAAAAAGGCATTTCCCATTTTCGAATCTGTTTCAAATTTCAACCCTATCGGTGTGGTAGTTTCGGCTGAACCTGATTTTTAAGTCATACCGCACGCACACAGATACATACATACAGATATTTTTCAAAAACACTTTTGGATTCCGGGGACCTTCAAAAGTACCAAATATCAGGTTTCGTCAAACGCAGAATGTAGTAGGAATTTTGAAAATGACAAAATCGAATCCTATCTAGAGACGTGACATTCTTCTTGATGTTTGTTACGGTTCTCGAAAAAAAAAGATTCAGATTTTGGACTTTTTAAGCAGAGCTTCCAAACCAAACGTTTGCGATCTTCGATTTATTAATAAAATAAGTTTGTTTAGGTCCCCTCGATCGCCCTATTTTTTGGCATAACTCAAATGTAACACCCCGTACAATATCTGCATTTCAAAATATATCCATATACACACATGTTCCTCGACGAGCCAAATCACATATTATATATAAGGCTATGAAAATTTGTACATAAAGGTTTTACGTTATAATAATAATAATAATAATAATAGAGATTTATTGCCCAACAGAACAGACATTCCAATTACAGGACAATATATATTTAATAGTTAACGCGCAATTATTTATTCGGTGCCATGTTTTTTCATGGATCATGTTCCATTGTCCACCCCTGAACTTTTTTCGGTGCACCGTTGGTAAATTTTAAAACAAGAAATTGATTTTCTGATTTGTTTAGAAACTTTTTGGTTTATTGTAATTTTTTCGTCGGTAGTTAACTAAATCGACGTAAAAAATGTTAAGGCGGCCCTGACCTTATTTGGATAATCTCTTGATTTTAAGGGCTTTGATAGTTCAGACTTATAAATTGTATCTTGTGCTTTCATAATATGTGTATAAATTAAAGGTTTCTGTTGTACAGTGTACGTTGAAATTATAACACCCTGTAAATCGGTAACGAAGCGTTTCCGGATCTATGTTTATTATGAACTTTTAGTCATAACATAAGCTAATTGGCCCTTTCCTTATAGGGGTAGTTTTCATAATTAAAAGCAAGGACCGATTTTGAAAAGAAGAGTCAACTGTGCGTAGTTCCATATATTCACGTAAATCGATGCATATTCAAAAAAGTCAAAGCTTCCTTAAGGGTAGCTTTGGCTGAAATCCCGCTCGCTTAAAAATAAAAATAAAATCCAATATAAATAAATAAATAAATAAATAAATAAATAAATAAATAAATAAATAAATAAATAAATAAATAAATAAATAAATAAATAAATAAATAATGCAGTTCACAGTGTGTATCTGTGTAAGGATAAATTATTTGAGTACGCCTTGTGTGATAACATACAGGTTGTAGCATTTAACTATATATGTCAAAAATAATTGGATTGCTGAGCAAAATTAATCATTACTGTTCACAGGAACCATAAAGTATATTTACTAGGGTTATAAAGAGATTAATTCATAACAACTCAATATTTATCACTTGCAATCAACTTTATCAAATTAATTTATACTTTTATGCCACATAATAACAATAACAATAGAATTAGTCACATCAACTTACATTACTTTATCGTTAGTGATTAATCTAGTACCGCACCTTGAGAATGTTCTAGAAAATTCGCTACATTATTGTGACTTATAGGCGTTTTATTTTACCTTTGTATATTAAAAGTTAACAAGACCAACGACTAAATGAACGGGAATGTGTAAAGATACGCGCAAATTGACATACGTATAGTGAGAGTGACACGACACAGCAGATCACATGTTTTTGTAACCTATAGGATTTATTGAGGGCTGCGAGTATACTAACCCAGCTAATTCTTTTCTTCAGTAAATATCAACATTTTTAAAATCAATTTTGTTGGTCCTCTTTTTGAACTGCAGAAAAAGTTTTTTCCAAAGTACTTCCAGTACTTAGCTTCGGCGCAAATTGAGACACGTATAGCACGTGTGAGGTGACGTGATACCGAGTCAAGACCTGTACGCGCGACACGTGCTGCGCGGTGATCCGCATATTGAGTCGCAGTTTTAACGACATACTCACAACCGCACCATTGGAAAATGTCATACACGAACAAAACAATTCTGAAACATTTCTGAATCATCATCAAATGATGGTAAAAAAGAAATTTTGGAATTGAAATTGAATTGTGTTTAGTCTGAGTCTTAATACCGATATCGAAGGGATAAATATCAACATACGCGCTCGTATTATTAAAGATAATAATGGTGTGAACGAGATACCCCGCTTGGTCTCCTATTTAATAAAATTGTGCGGAGCTAGAGCGAATCGGAACTTGCCGAAATCGATCTAATCGAACGGAATTGGGTTCTATTTCTTTGGGATCATGGGGTGGCGAGGGGGGGATTAGTTTTATCTTTCAATGTATTCTAATTAAAAATCTCAACGAAAGGGTCTGATTTCTACCAATTACCCAAATTCTCCATTGCTACTTATCCAAATGAGAGGGAGAGAGGGGCAGAAATTAACTCTAATTCTTCAGGGTACTCTCAACAAAAGGAATTAATTTATTATATTATTATTTATAATTCCTCATATACCAAAAGCATCGGAGGAGGGTGCTATTACCTTATAGTAACCCAATTATTTACTAAGCTATTTCGGTTTTAAAAAAATGCGCTTTATCTGCACAAGAGTTATTCACTATTTATACTTGTGTAATTTAATACTCGTATGTCAGAGTATAGTTTTTAAGTTTATAAATGCTCCTTTTGTTGGCAAAGTATGCAATACTACATTTACTTTTATTTCATAAACAATAGTATTTAGGTACAACAATTTTTGGGTCATAAACCCATAAAAACTCAAAATTTTAAGTGGGGTAACTGCGTTACTCCGCTTGGGCACCTGGGGAAAATTTCATATCTTCGTCACGTCAATTTTGACTCCATCTTCAGTAACATTTTGTCGGGGGCTACCTACCACATTTGTCGGTAGCCACTTCCGACGTCCCGTTCACTTGAATTCGCACTTTGGTGGCTAAAAATCCTCCACAACATATAGTACTCAATTTTTTATGCACGCCTCATAGCTCGAGCTTCTTTCTATTGGTGACACGAGAAAGAGAGTTAATCTCTAAGAATGTTTTAGGAATAAGATCTTTCCGACGACACCAATATGAAAACAATCGGACCAAAACGGTAGAAGAAAATAGAAAAAAACTGAAAAATCACCACGTTACTATATCACGCTCGGGAATGGCTCCCAGATGTCGCTGACCCCACATATATCATGTAGGCCAATCCCTAAAGTTGTTAATTACACGGCCCCGGTAGGTACATGTACACTCCTCGTCTTTTTATAAGCGTTTCTCTACGGGACCGACCAAAATGAGATTAAAAACTACTTTTTTACAAATGTGCTAAAAACCACGTGTGCCAGAGTCTACCATTATTGAGAAATTTATAAATTTTGACCCCTTGGGGCACAATAAAAGACCACTTTCGTCCTTTGCTATCTAATCTTGAAGAACCTCGCTAAAGCTTTTAGCAGATACGCTAGACCAGGCGTGGGCAACCTTTTTTTCCAAGGGGCCAAAATAAAATTTTTTATGTGCGCCACGGGCCACACTTGAAAATCCAAATAAAAGTATGTTTAAAGAAATCAATATCTAAGTATCTATTTCTTTTTGGTCTTCATCTATTTTTTGCTTTCGTAAAAATTATTTTAAAAAAAATCAATAAGTACTCCTGAAAATTGACACGATTTTGCAAACAAAATTTGCCAGATGTGGATAATAAATCCCCATATTCAGTTTGTATCCAAATTTTCATTTATGCTCTTAAGATTCTTAATCCCTAAATCACGTGTCGTTGTATTGCCCCACCCGGTATTATCGCGAGGAAAATTCTGGAAAATGCCTGGCGATATCTCTGAAACAATAAATGCATCTTTAACTAGGCTTTCAAACGTCTTGGAAGCTTCGGATCGCGTCCACTAGATGCTGCACGTGTAACATAATCATATTAATTAATTAATAAATTAGAATTTGAAACTTGTGGGCCCTATGAAGTATTAACTATGAATTATATTAGCGGGCCGGACAAAACTGATCGGCGGGCCGGATCTGGCCCGCGGGACGTGGGTTGCCCACGCCTGCGCTAGACTATACTATATATCTAGACGTATTCCAAGGTTCGGAGTAGATAGTTTTTCAAATAACTTCCGCAGATTTCTACTTTTTGTATGCAAAAGCAATTAATTCGCCTTATGCCTACAGGGTTCAGCAAGCGAATCTACCTTCATAGCGCTATTAACCGCAAAGGAAAGGATGGTGCGAAACATTAAGAACGTACATCCCCAACTCGACGAAGGTCTAATAAAAGCGAAACTCGTAGCTTACACTTCGGACCAGGCGAATTCGTCGGTGGAAAAGGCCGGGATGTTGGGTTCTATGCCGATGCGACTGTTACCAACGGACCAAAACGGCTGTCTACGCAAGGAAACTTTGGAGGAGGCGATCAGTAACGACAAAAATGCGGGGTTAATTCCGTGTTACGTGGTTGCCACGTTGGGCACGACGGGTACGTGTGCGTTTGATAACTTGGAGGAGTTGGGTCCTGTGTGTAGAAGAGAGAAGTTATGGCTGCACATTGATGCGGCGTACGCCGGTTCAGCGTTCGTCTGTCCCGAATATCGCTACCTAATGCGAGGAGTGGAATATGCGGATTCCTTCGACTTCAATCCGCACAAATGGATGATGGTCAATTCCGACTGTTCGGCAATGTGGGTGAGAAACTCGAGGCACTTAGTGGAGGCTTTTAATGTTGACCGAATTTACTTGCAACACGAACACGAAGGAGTAGCTCCCGATTATCGTCACTGGCAGATTTCGTTGGGGAGGCGATTTCGCGCGTTAAAGCTGTGGTTCGTTTTGCGCAGTTACGGCGTTGAAGGCATTCAAAAACATATACGCTCACAAATTGAGCTTGCCCATTACTTTGAAAAGCTGGTGAAAGATGATTCGCGATTTGAGTTCGCCTGCAGCTCCATGGGACTAGTCTGCTTTAGAATGAAAGCGGGGGATCGACTTACACAGACTCTCGTGGATAAGTTGACGCAACGCAAGAACATTTACGTAATTCCTTGCTACTTTCAAGGAAATTACGTTGTCAGATTCGTAGTGTGCAGCAGGTTGACCGAAATCAGAGATATTGACTATGGGTGGAGGGAAATTTGTGAGGTTGCTTCTGAAATTTTGAATGGATACATCACGGGTAAACCAAATGGTGAGCTTGTATCGTTACTTACAGTGTCTAATAGGAGTAAAAGAAGAGAAAATTGTATAGAACAATGAAATCACATGGCGTTCTAGTGCGTTGTTAACATATTTTAGTTATTATTATTACAAAAAACCCTTATGCCCTGTCTATGTGATAAGAACTAATGCGAATGCATTTGGTATGGGCGCCAGTTAATTAATAAGGGGGATATTACTTTTTTTTAAATGATCTTGTTAAAAAAATATTACTATAAGTGCACCAAGCGATGCAAAAGGTATACAAGTAGATTTCATAGTATCATTTTGTATGAGATTAGCTGGTAGAACCTTCTACCGAAGGTTTGAGCGATTGTCAACAGTACAGAGGAGTTCGCCGCCTTGGTGATGGAAAATGCACAACTTAAGTTATTAAGATAACGTAATGGGGCTATTGCATCCTTGCAGACCTTTTGAGGTTTGGCCAAAAATGCACTTTTATCTGACCGGCAACTGTCCAAACAATAAAACGTACTTCTTTTAGTCTACCCTTCTAGGACAATTGCAATTGTATATGGCAGGAGGGAGGTGCGCAATTATAAATAAATGTTTTACTTACGATAAATTAATGTAGTTTTCATTTTTCCCCGTGTAGAACTGAGCTCCCCGAGTCTGTGCATCCGATAAAAAATAGCAACGGTAACAATGGGTGCGTTCACAAGGCGAAGCGCCACCAAAATTCATGGTGAACGAATCGCTTAACTATCATTTTAAAGAAACCAAGTGACCGCAGGCAAAGTTCGGTGTAACTTATTTCGGATCTCGCACCTCACGCTTTTTCGGTCTATGAATTCGACCGTAATATTTCGCGGATATCCGCATAACGCTTTCCGAAAACCTCTCTTGTAATCCCTACTTTTTTAAAATTTTACAGAATACGCCTGCAAAATGGTGGCTATTCGTATCTACGGCCATCTTTACTCGTTCAATGAACTTCGTCTTCCTTTCTCAGCCCCACGTTTAGAAAAGCCATTAGCCGGCAAGCAGGCATCAGAGCTTGTTTTGCTCAGCCAGAATCCTCACCATAAGCGTTTTAAATCATCAGAAACTGACGCGATACAGCTATAAATTTACAGAAGGAAGTCGAACAACAATATTATTATTGTCTGCCCTTTTTATCTGTGGTAGGTGTAGCATTGCAATATATTGTTACCTTCTAAATCATTCTTGATATTGCATATTCTCTGTGCTGGCACACATAATATAGTGTGTCCCGAGATGAGGTTCACTATATCTATAAATAATATAGACCATATTTTTTAATTGTTCGAGAAACGTACAATTTTTTAAGTCCCGTTTGTTCTAAAACTCTAGAAGCACCATTTAGCCTTTCCTTAAAATGCGGGGGATTCGAATGAATTGAAAAAAACCTGTCTTGCAACATTCAGATTTCAAGTCAATCAAAAATCCAAAATTGACAGATAAAAATCATGTCAGCTTTGATTATTGACAAATGTATAACATTGTGTACGATTTTTAAGTTTACATCAGAAAATGTTTCTCGTACTTACTTGATTTTACCTGTCAATATTTCGACAAAGTCAAAATTCTGATGTTATCAAACAGGTTTTTGTTTGAAAAACCCTGCATTTTAATTTAATGGTGCATTTAGAGGTTTGGAACAAGTCGGATTCTTTATAAAGAATTACTATTTATGAAAAAAATTGTCGATTACAAATATAATGAACCTTTTCTCGGGACATACTGCATATGTGTCCAAATATAGACATTGATCGGATAAATTCACTCAGCCTTATAATGAATAACAATAAACATTTGTGTGCAAATTCTCTGACTAACTTGTAGGAAATACAGGGTGGCACTTTAAAAGCTTGAATGGGTTGTATCTTATTTCGTATTGGATTTATCAAAAAGTACCATTGCAGTACTACATCGTAGGGAAAGGTAATTTTGGAACCAATCCAAATGGGCTCGTTACGCCCCCCCCCCTTCGTCATTGATGGCCAGACCTTTGACTCACACACACATTTCGCATCTCGTAATAGCAGGCACTAACCTAGAACCCAATTTGTTGCTAGCAGATACCACTGTAATGGTAGTCCTTGCTTTGAGACCGCGCGATCCAAATTTTATCCTAACACTCCAGCTTGAACTTGTAATTAAATCATCGATATCATCCTATGTGCTCAGGGGAGGATCTCGACGAAACCATTAAAAATACGAAAACACTGAAACAGAATGGGGGGGGGGGATATCATTTTATATTCAATGTCTTTAGAACTCCTGCAATAGCCAAAATACTAAAAAGTGAAGCGACTATTCTCACCTGTACTCACTGAGGACGCTCATGATCCTCAACACACCAGAATCCTACAGTTACATAGGGACATCGAAGCCGACCAGAAGATCTTGGGGAATCAAATCAGAGATGCGTTGAATGAAATGCCCGGAGTTCAGAATGTGAGATAACGTGCAACTTGTGAAATCCTTCAAGTAAATGGGAAGATACTTGGCGAGCTTGTAGGTGGGCGAGTTGAGGGTGGGCGAAGAGGGATTCATTGCTTATGAATTTTAAAATATCCGTACCGGCGTACAACTTCGGCGGTTTGAAATCGCTAGGGATGAGACGTGTGAGAGGTGGTCGCTTTAGGTGCTTTAGGAAAGAAAACGAGAAAACGAGAAAATGAAGCGCGTTAAGATAAGAACCGATTGTTCAAGGCGATAAGTTAAAACGCTACAGCGTTACCGGTTCTAAAAACTGTTACGACTAAGGATGAGAGACGGCGTTTCTGCTATACGTTGGCAAGAGAGTGAACGCTTAGGTTTTGTTGGGGTCGTTTCATCACTGGAACTCGTCGAGTACGTAAGTAAAAATTGGGTGAAATCTATGCGGGCATGAACACTTCTAGAGCCAACAATACGAGTGAGAGGGGGGGGGA